CCCCAAAACCCCAAAACCCCAAAACCCCAAAACCCCTGGATCCAACATCAATGTTGATTTTATTTAAAATTAGAAAATAAAACTTAAGAAAATGTCAGATTATGAATCAGACTTTGACGATTTTGAAGATTTCGGATCTCCTCCAGTTGACGAGAAGGTGTTTGCTCAACCAGCAGCAGTTCCAAAGAAGGCTAAAGAGATCACCATTGGAGATAATCCATCCAGAAACGTACCTGATCTTCTACCTGAACTCCGCAACGTACAATAAATTCATTATGTATAGCTTTCTGATGAAGAAAAGTTGAATAGGATTATTGACAAATATTCAAAGAAGGGTTTCCATAACCTGTCTCTTCGTGAGCTAATCCACAGTAATTTATCAGTTTAAATTTAGTCTATAAGACCAATGAATTCGAGCAGAAATGCTTGGCTAGAAGCGGCAAGGAATGGCCTCCCAAGTACAACTCCATGATTTTTGAGAGGCTTCGCAAGTGCCATTTCAATATAAATTTGTTGATAAGAATCAAAAAGAATCTAGTTGACCTCACTCAAGAGGAGAAGTTCTTCAATCTTATTATCAGTGGAGATCTTCCAAGAGTTAAAATTTTCATGGATGGAGACGAAGGAGGGGCTGGTGCTATATTTCCAAACATCATAGATGAATATGGTAAAACAGGACTTCATTATGCCGCACAGATGGGTTATGAGGATATTTCAGAGTACTTACTTCACTCAGGGTTTCAAATAGATGCGATAGACAATCTAGAGAGAACACCTCTACATTATGCAGCGATTCAAGGAGACTGTGTAAAATTACTACTCAACAGCAAAAGTAATTATCTTCTCAGAGACAATCTGAATCGAGTCCCATGCCACTTAGCTGCAATCCATGATAACTGTAAGGCCATGAAAGACTTCATTGATTATGAAGAAAAACTCGGTGATAAAAGAAGGATCAGAAAAGACAAGAAAATAGTAAATCAAAAGGACTCTTTTGGTAGGACAATTCTGCACTATGCTGCTTATACAAGCGAGAGAGCTTTCTCTTGTGTCCAAGAGCTACATCCAACAATTGATAATTTTGACATGGAGGATGATGAAGGTCATTCACCTATATTCTATGCTTTCAAGCGAGATAGATACTACGAGAAGACTTTAAAGAATGTATATCCTCTCTTAGACATCCCATCTGTTGAAGAACGGTATCCGCATTTGAAAGATATGAAAGATGAACTTAGTCTATCGCCAAAGGAAGAACTCACACTCAAAAGTCTCAGTCATAAACAAATCAATGCAAATATTAGTGACAAAGCTGATCAGAAATGGAAGACAGCTTATCTTAAAGAACGGTTAGCCAATGATGTAGAATCGGAGGACGAAACCATAGCTTCAAAAAGACGGCTCCCTGATCAGCTCAGATCTACGCTTAAGTCGAACTATGAGTTTGATGAGGAAGAAGATGCTGAAATGAGATCAACCGTCCTCACAGAAGAGACTGCAAAGACTTATTATGCTGAGGAGATCGAGAACCTCAAAATTCTAGTCCACGTCCTTAATGAGAAGCTTGAAAGCAACTCCAGAGATTACTCTGAGCAAGTCGAGGAGGTCCTTAGAGCTAGAGAAGGGCTTCAGCGTATGAAAGCTCTTCAGGATGAAAATAAAGAGATAATTGAAGACAACACAATTTTACAGAACAAAATAGATGATCTAATTCGTAGCATTGACATTGCTTATGACAAGATTGATGATCTCACTGAAGAGCTCAATAATAGAGATATAGACATGGACAACCTCAAGGACCAACTTCCTAATATCCAGAAACTTGAGAAATACAAGGAAAGAGTTAAAGAGCTTGAGGAGGAAATTGATCGACTTAAAGCTCAAATGATCCAGCAAAAGCAGCAAGCTGGCCGAATGTATAAAGAACTCCTAGATAAGTTGGAAAAGCAGAAAGAAGAATCAGGAAAATTCTCTGTAGATTATTATGTTCTTGGCCGGTTTTTCAGGCAACTTACCACTGAGTCATTGTCTCATTTCAGAGTTAGGCTTAAAAATCAAGATAAGAAGGAGTTAGGCACTCTTAAATATGCAAAGGTCAAGAAGGTACTGGAAGATCTTAAAATTGCACCCCAAGATATCCCAAACCTACTCCGTCTGGCTGGGTTCTACGAAGAAGACCCTAGTGATCTAATCTATATCGGTAAGAACCCCTCTTAAACTCTTTAGAGGAATTTGTACTTCGCATTAAGAGAAGAAGAGATAAGATATACCTTCTCGACCAGGAACTATTCACCAAGATCCTAATGCAAATCAAAGAGAGAGGTTACACAATAGACCAAGCTTTCAAAAAGTTAGACACTAGTAATGACGGAAACCTGGAATTCCTTGAGCTTCTCTCAGGTTTTCAAAAACTCAAAATAAAAGTCTCCAAGAATGAATGAAAGGCGATATTCTCTATCCTTGATGAAGACAATAATGGGTATATTTCCCTTGAAGAATTTAAAGCAAAACTGGTAAACCTCGAGGCTGAGATGGCCAGGCTGCAAAAGGAAAAAGACCTTGAAGAGGAACGTAGAAAAGCCGAAGAGCTCAAGAAGAAGCAGCAGGAAGAAGAAGACGAAAACAGAAAGCTGTAAATTCCACCCCCTAAGTTTTAATAGGCAAGATGAGATCGACCGCAAGCGCAGAGAGGAAGAAGAACGCAAGCGTAGAGAAGAAGCAGAGCGGAAGGAACGGAACTATCAAACCATTAGGAAGGAAGTGGACAACCAACTCCTCTCGCTCGTTGATAAGCACCTCATGGTATACAGAGAGGAGCAGAGGAAATATAATTCCAAGAAGAAAAGAAAGGAGAAAGCTTTTAAAGAGACTAATAAAGTCAACGGCGAGCTCACTATTAGAGTCAATAATGGCTATGACATGCACGATTTCCGAAAAGAGGGCTACGAGCATTATTTCGTAACTATCCAACTAGATGGAACTAATGATAATGAGGAATTTGTATCAACAGCCCTGGACTTTTGGACAGACCAGAATTTTGAGTATGAGATGAGAATCCCAATGCTTAATACCAAGCTACGTAAACTAGGCTATGAGTTCTTTCTTAAAGTATTAACTAGCAAAACTAAAAAGTTTGATGACGCCCGCTTACTGGGTCAATTCAAAGTAGCATGGAACAGATGTTACCAGTTCCCTAACCTCTTCTCAGTCTTTGATCAATTTGATCTGACAGACCCAGAAGAAATCGTGGATATGAAGCCAATTCAGGGAAAAGTAGCCGTGCAAGCTAAGTTCACTCCTATTGATGTCGTCAAGAAACTGAAAGATGTAGATCTTGACAAGATCGACAATGCTGAAGAGGAAGAAGAGAAGTCAGAGGAACCACCTGAAGAACTTGGAACTCTTAGAATACAAGTGCTAAGTTCCAGAGCTTTTGAGAAAGATAAAAAGCACAAGTTAAGATTCTACATTGATGGGCAGGATACTATTGAGACTACTGGAGTCCAAGAGAACACTAAGAACCCTAAATGGCTAGAAAAGTACTCCTTCACGATCTATAAGCCAAGAGGAGATGACGAATTCTCTGAACTGATCATTGATGATATGGATGCTGATGAGGAAGACAAAATTCTCCACACCACTAATGTTGATGTAGGCGTCCTCGCTAGGAAGGGCACAGGGAAGTTAGAGAAATGGTGATCCTTCTTTAACAAGCCAAAGAAGCAGCTTAAGGTCAAGATGGTATTTCTGTTAAAAAAGAAGTAAAGTTTCAATATCTTGGCTACTTCTCGGGGTTTTGGGGTTTTGGGGTTTTGGGGTTTTGGGGTTTTGGGG